GAAAATAGAATGTACCTAGGACCAAGTGTAATGAAAACTTTAACAGCCTTACTGTGAAACTTGCAAAGTTTTCTAGAAAGACATTAACAAGATCTAAATTAATAGATGATGTGGCTCATTCCCTCTTCCGGGCAAAGCTAGGCAATGTCTCTCCACCCTCTTTCTGGGTCATTGTGACCAAGTGACATGGCCGCAGCTCCCAAAGTAATGGCGATGCTTTTCATACCACTCACAGATCTGGCTTACAAATGTTCTGGGAAGTGGGTCTCTGCAGCCTTTCTGGCTTGTTGCCAACAAACACAGACAACCAGAGTTAGCAGAGCCATAAAATCTGAAGTCTGTGTCCCTGAATCACCACCTGAAGATCTACTTACCTCGAAAGTAAATCCATTATATGAGTAAGAATTAATGTACAGTTAAAACTGTATTATCTTCTTGGATCTATTTTTGTAGTATATAGCATTACTTATCCCAACGCAGACAGCTACATCATGTTTAAAAGCGGGAAGACTCCTCATCCTGAGGTATCGGTACTTTATCTAGGGCCCTGCTACACTTCTAAAGAAATTTCTTTTCCACCAGAGGTTTTTGTGATGCTTGGCAAGCTAAGGCTAGAAATTTGGGTTAGAAATTAGCACTCAGAATAGCCAAATGAGGCCAACTAAGGAAACGAAGGTAGGAAGAAATTGCCTCCTCCGTTATGTCAGGTGACTGTTGCCAGATTCTCACTAGCAGAGAAAGTCCAAGCTGGAACTGTAGTGGTTTTGTCCTCACAAAGAGTAAACCCTTGTTAATTAAATGGTGTCATAGTGCTCTGCAGGCCCAAACAGACAGCACTATTCAGGAAATGCACCATCATGGGTTTGAGTGAAAAAAAAATCATGTTGCCCAAAATGGTTGTAAGGTTGATCTACAGATTAAAAAAACTAGACATTGTATCATATTTGTGATATCAGATATGTGGTAAAGTTGGAAATGAAGGAGGACAATTGACGGATGTGTGCGTAAGAGCGTGGGCGGTCGCCTGGCTATGGAAAGAACACTGGGCAGGACTTCCATCCGAGTGAATAGAGCACAGGAGCCTTCCGATTCTCATGCGTTTTTACGTATCGAGAATTTCCTAATGTGAAATATGAGAACAATCATGGGCTCCAACCATCTTCTGCTGACACAGCAATGCTAGCTCACTTACTAGGCAAGCATTGAGCTTGTCCATCAATACGCCTAGCACACACGGCTCCTTCTCCTTTAAGTATCTTCTGTCTTATATTTTACCTGTCGTGAAAGGCTTCTCTTTAAAATGCTGGATGGAGTCTTATATCAAGCAAGTGTGCATAGTGGCTTTTATTACCACAGAATATCTTATAGACTGACTTTAACAGTCAATCTACCTCTTTTTTTTTCAATAAGTGCAAGTTGAATACCTGCCTCATTCCAAATACAGTCTACTACAAAAATGGCTTTGTGAGTATGAGACTCTTCCCAAAGAGCTGGGTTTAGTGATGCAGTTAGAACCTGAGACCCAGAGGCATGTGATCATGAGGTATGAACAGTGACACAGAACCTGAAAGGAGAGGGACATAGACTCTGTGACTCAGGGAAGGCGTCAAGGAGATGACGCTGTGAGATAAGCCTCATGGCATTTTCCTAGTGTGCCTGTGTGAGTAAAATTCTTCAATTTGTCTTTTCCTGCTTGGTACTCTGTTTCAGTGAGTCACTCTGCCCCATCTAGAAGGGGCAGGTTCATAAAAGGCTCCTCTGCTCCTACGTCAGCCTCTCCCCCTGTCACTCCAGGGAAAGCACTATTGCTATCCATTAGAGAAGGATGCTAAATCAGCTATGGGAGTTGGCAGAAAGACAGATCCCATTTTATCTCGTCTAGCCTGAGGTAAAGACAGTGCTCTATACATATCACGTAAATACGTTTTTGGAATGTTGTCTCCATGAGTCATCTGTCTTAATTAGATTGTTCACCTTGTACTGTTTTTATGTGACTGATTCAATATCTTAGAATTTTACTATCTTAGAGAGAAACTTACGAGGGAAAGGATATTGTTACTGGACACCAGCTCTAAGAAGACATGTGCTGATTTTTTTTTTCTCTGAACAATGCAGCCACAGCCCTAGGTTTAGAAGCGTCTCAGATCCTTTTAGTTTACTTCAACGATTAGAAATATCCTTGAAAGCTCTCACCTCAATGTAAGCCACCCTTAGCAGTGGAAGTTTAATTCAGGCAGTTAAGAAACTGTGTATAGCTTTTCAAGAGCTCCCCCAAAGCCTCGTTTTTCTCGCAGAAAATGAAAATAAAGGGAGAGGGTCTCGGCCCTTGAGGACATACATCATCACACCCTTTCCTCCGAAGGTCTTTCTATGGTTCACAAACCCATGGAGACCTGTATGCCTCCATCTACCGTGGCCCTGTCACACTGACTCTGAAAGATTTTGAAATGAGCACCAGTGTTTGCATCTTGGGCTTTTGTGCTGTCTCTTCCTCCTGGGGAAGGGCCCTCCCCCCTTCTCAGATGTTTGTGGAACTTTCTTATGTCATTCAGATTTCTGTTCAAATCTGCTCAAATGCTACCTCGTTGAAGTGTGATTTCTGGGTGTCCTTATGTCAAGAGCAATTCATCCTGCTCTCTGCACTAACTCTTCTGTATCCTTCTCTACAACATGTCTTATCCCATGACAACATATCATCATTATAATACATTTCCATGATTTTTTTCTTCCTTTCAATATAAACTCATTGAGAACTGGAGTTTTGTATGTGTGCTGGTACCTGGAACAGAATGATGTTCATTGAGAGTCATTGCATAAAGGAAAGAGGAACTTGCCTTTCTGCCTCCTAGAGTGGGAAAGGCTCCTCCATGTAGCCATGGTACTGAGTCGGGATGTGGTTAGGAAAGCTTGCTTCTTACAGAACATGCATGGAACATGACACAGACTATCTGGCATCATCTACACTAGTGACACAACTGTGGGTAGCTTTGAATGCCAATGTATTCTAGCCAAGTGTAGTAGATCAAAGTTGGTATGAACCAAGTAGATAAAATAAGTGATACAATTTTATAAATCTTCGAATGTTAATATAATTATTACCACCTCATCATGCAAATATGCAAATATTGCAAGAGCATACTGGGATTTAAATTAAAATATATTATTTTTAAAATTAGAATAGCACTTTTATGTAGCCAGTGAACTTCCAGTAATTCTTAAAAGGAAAATTAAATGCAATTAAAAAACAGTCTGGAAGCTGTTATAAACCAACAAAGTACAAAGTTTCTGTATATGCATGTGTACAATTGCATCTATAATCACTGCTTTCTTGCCTCTTAAATTTCAGTCTTTATAAAATTAGTTAGGACTTTTATTATTGTTTCTTTCTCTCAGGAATATGTAGATACTCTCATCTCAGCTAGTTACAGAGTTTAATTTTATAATATTCTCAGCCATTCTCTCAGATTTAATCTTTGTGAGTCATGCTGTGTAGATAAAGGCAAACAGGAAAACCCCACTTTGAATTGGGTTATTTGAATTCCTTTTTTTTTTTTTTTTTTCCAAGAGAAAAACCTTTGCTACTATGGAATAAGTACAAAAGGGTCTCAGAAAAAGAGAGTCTAAGAGACTTCTTCAAGGGAAAACAAATGCTTTACGCATGAATATTTGAACAAACAAATGAGTTAGATATTTTAGTGTCTGACTCCCACTTTTCAAAATGGGGGCTTATTTTGATGTTAACTTGATCTATTTTAAAGCATGGATTGTTGAGATAGTATTGAAATTATCCACATGCAATGAAGCTATTAAACCGGGCATGGTAAGCACAGAAGCAATTTCTACGCCTGTTACCTGAGGGAGGTAGAAGAAAGTTAAAGTGAAATTAGCTCACATTACAAATGAATGGGTACATGCTCACCTCCCCTGTGCAAAGGAGCCAGCTGTTGTTCGGCAGGGATGGATTTCATTTATGCACACTGCCTCATGGGAGGGGGCATGCTGCCTCTCTGGCCTCCTGTTTTGTTTGTTCTGCAAAGTTCATTGAGTAAAAGTTTGGAGAAGTGAGAGGCACCTTCTAAAAGGCAGAGGAGGGGAGAGCTTGACCCCTTATTGTGCGAGAATTCCTAACCCCTGGTCAGGGACAACCTCAGTTGTTACCTTCCAGTACTTCCCGCACACGCCCAGCTGTTTCTCCTTAATGTTCTGGGGTGTTAGCTCTTTTCCTTTTAGTGTCTGGCTCCCACTTTTACAAGTTTATGCTTTCTTCCCCGTTGCGTATCACAGGGTGTCATACAGGCAGCGAATGCGTATGTTGTCCCAGGACTCTGAGCGTCTCACTGTCAGCTCCATGTGATAAGCATGGAGCAGAATCTAAGCCAGAGTCGGTGCTGACTCTACATTTTCAAAATAAGTTAGGTAATAATCTTCCACCCACGTCATTAGTGGGGATCGGAAGTGTTCCGAGATGACAGCAAACGCGGGGAGATGCTGCTGGCTTTGCCCTGGGTTGCCGGAATAGAGGGTGGGTACGCACTGTACGCAGTGTTCGCAGCTGGAGAACAGGCTGAGGTTCTGGTCTCTCTTCTTAGCCACAGACTCTTTCCCAAACTCTCAGCTTTGCTGTTATTTTAATTCTTGGAGGAGTTTTCCAGGCACCTGTTTCTATTATTTCCCCCTTCTCTCTTTAACCCATCAGATAAGCCAGTGAATTAACATATGCCTCAGCACTGTTTGCTGGGAGCGTAAGAATGAATCTGAATTGTCTTCAAGTGTAATGAGGCACATAGGACTGAGCTTTCAACAGCTGAATGATACATGATCTACAGAGGAATGTCTGAGAAGGTGCGTGCGTTCGCGTGTGTATGCTCATGCATGTGTGTGTATGTGTGCGTGTGTTGAAGGGAAGTTTGGGCTTGTATGAAAACTCTTAGAGTTAGCAGAAAACTTAAAAGCAGTGTAAGTTTTATAACACCTTCAGTTCTCTTTGCTGTCCTGTCCAGGTTGACTTTGGATTTGCTAAGAAGATCGGCTCTGGGCAGAAAACGTGGACTTTCTGTGGGACTCCAGAGTACGTGGCTCCCGAGGTCATTCTCAACAAAGGACATGATTTCAGTGTGGACTTCTGGTCTCTGGGAATTCTAGTCTACGAGCTCCTCACGGGCAAGTAAGTGTGAGCCGTCCCAGCCTCATCTACAGGGGAAAACAATTCACTAATGATAAAATTACAAAATTCAAAGTTTAACCATCTTTTAAGGGTGTTGCGTTTTCCTCTGTACATTTCCTCTGCACATTGTTCCAAAAACAGTGCTTGAATAGAAACTTTAAAGTATAGATAAAAGATTCAGAAAGCTAAAGCAAAGGAATATAGGATTCTTATAGTTTACCTAAAGTGGTAAGTTTCATTGTTAAGGGTAGCACATTCAGTGTGTGACAGTTTGATAATCCAGGAACAGAAACAATGAAAAGGTTGGACTTGTTAGAATTTCTATCTTTTTAAATAAATGATGAAAGCTGTTTTCCTAGTTCAGTAAAATTCCTTGATCAATCGAACTAAATTTAGCTAGATTCTGCCATCTTTCCCAGATGCCATTAACCAGAAATGCTAGAAGAAAGCTACAATGCTGATTTTAAATTTTAAATCCCCTGACAAATCGTTTCCAGGGTGCTAATGAACAGAGTCAAGACACACCATTAATGGTTTCAGCAGTTAAGAGTGTATTGTCACCCCCCCCCAATGATGAAAACATGGGATTAATGAACCTTCAGTCCTAAATATTTAACACGGTAGAGTGTGAGTGTTTACCCACAGATGCATATACATGCTCCACATTAGTAAAATACTTCACTGAGTCCAAAGCACTTATACATACAATCTGGTTTAGTTTTCCTGCCCTCGTGTGGGAGATCAGGTAGGGATTTTTATTTTTATTTTATGATTCAAGTTTTTGATTATTTTATGATTTAAAATTTACAAGTTAGACAGCTAGGTCAAGAAGCTATCTCCCTGAGATCAGTAATTTGATCCCAGGCCTCTGGCTCTCCCTGTGACGTACTTTCCATGACACAGGCATGCTTTATGACCCTTTATAGCCAATTGTGCTCAACATTAGTTTTAGAGAGATTTACACTTAGAATTGCCTAAGCAATACTGAAACGGGCCCACTAGTGGGGACGTAAATTTCAACACACATATGACAAAACAATTTCATATTTTATAGCTTTCTTGCATTGCTTGCTTTTTCACAGTAAAGACTTAAACGGAGCTTTACACATTCTGAAGAAATGTTCTACTACTGAGCTTTGATCGTCTTAAAGGTCTTAAATACTGCAAGCCTCAATGTTAAATAAGAATGTTAAAATGTCTGTGTTTCACAACTTTGTCCATATAATACCGGGGAAACAGATAATTAAATCTGTATTTTATCTGAATCACTATTCATTATCTATAGCCATGTTCAAATATTCATCATTTTGGAAGTGGATGGAAGAGTGGAAAATTTCCAGGTAGTCACTGAGAAAGACAAGTTGTTTAAGATGTGAAGAGCCCTGGGTTGTTTCAAACATTTTCTCTCCTCATCTTAGGGATTTTTAGGGGCTAGGTAATGACATGGTGGTTCTTGGAGCTGCTGGAAAATACATGTGTCAGTCTTTGTCACCTGGAAATTGTGTCATGTACAGTAGCAAAACAAAATAAATTGTGGAAATGAGGAGGGAGTGAGAACACAGCAGCTTAGAATTGCTAAGGTGGCCTTGAGCTGTCATAAAGCACTCAGGACTATACTCTGCCAGAAGTTTCCAGGGCAGGGCAGAAGGAAAGTCCACTTTTAATTGCCTGATCTAGAGAGTTACAGGGTGTCAGGGAAAATGAAAAGAAGAGGGAAAAAGGGGGAGAAGAAAGGGAATAAAGAAGAGAACATGGTGAAATGTTGTAAAATGTTTCCACATGGATGTATCTGTGTGTGTATACTGAAGCTGAAACACTGACGACGACTTTGTCCTCCTTATTTTTTTTCACACAAGAAGCATAAGTTACTGGAAACTTGATGCATTACCTTTGCTTTGTTTTATTTTATTGTGCCGAAGGTGAATACTATTGGTTTCCAAAAGGCACAAGCATGGTTGATATACAACAGAGCAGCCAGATCATGTTTAATTTTCAAAATTTAAATGGCGTACTAGACCAGACAGGAGAGTGTTTTAGACATTGAAGTGACATATGGATTAAAATGTTACCCAGCTTTGGTGGCTACATCTCTACCAGTTCTTATCCAGTAGTACATTCCTTCAAATATTCTCTTTGGTGCTGTCCAGAACCCCCTTTCTCCCTCCTTATCCTACACTGATAGCTCTTTCTCTGTCTTCATTTTAGATTTTTCTCACTTTTCTGGTAGCTTAACATTGGACCAGTCAGTCCTTGGCCTCTTTTTCACCTAACACTCATAGGATCATATCCTCAAGTCCTGTGGCCATAAACCTTATGAAATGGCCCCAAATCACACTTCTTCAGTGCTCTTACTCAATGCTAGGCTCATAAAGCCAACGACCTACCTACCAGTTCCCCATGGTTCTGGGACATGACCACAATTACTTCCCCTGTAACTAGCTGTGCCAGTGATGAGTCAGTCAGCTTTCCATCACTGCAGCGAAATACCTGTGATCATTTATGAGTAAGAAAAGATTTATTCTCGTTCCTATTTTCAGCCTATGGCTCCTTGACCCTGCAGACTTGGGAGCATGGCACAGTATGACAGGAGCATGTGACAAAGGTGTCTGTCCCATGTGATGCACACAGAACACGAAGAGGAAGACATGAGCTTCCCAATATTCCAGGCAAGGCCATCTCCCCAGTGGCCTAAATTCCCTCCAGCATGCCTCATTCTTAAAAGCTCCATTGCTTCCCCATTGGGAGACAACAGACAGCATGGGGCTCAGGCCTCTGGGGGATAGCCCAGATCCAAACTGTAGCACTCACCCCTACCCTAGTTTGTCTCTTTACGGACAATAGCTCCATGCTGTGGTTGCTCAGGCCATCATTCTTGAATCCCTTGGTCCATCAGTGCATTCACTGCATTAGCAAATCCTATTACCTTTATCATCAGCCTCAGCTCAGGCTCTGTAGCAAAATTCTGTAAGCTGGATGGCATTTTTTTAAAGGTCATTTATTTCTCGCAATTTGGGAGGCTGGAAGCCTCAGCAAAAGCAGTGGGTTTTAGTGAGGAGTCTTTTCTCGTTGCAGACCTCTGACTTCTTATGGGATCCTGACTAGGAAGAAGATGGACAGCCAGCATGCTGTCTCAGAAGGCCACCAAGCCTATTGACTGATGGCCTCACCCCTAACCTAATTAGCTTCATCACCTCCCATGTACCAGCACTTCAACGTATGTGGTTTCAGCACACATACTTGACAAAGGGACATAATTAGTATGTTCCGTGGTCTAGTAGAGCCCTGTCTATATCACCACCTTCAGCACTGCTTCCCACAGCCAGCCTCCCTTACTGTACTTTATTTCTTGTAAAAAAAAGCGGACTGGAGTTGCTATAAGTTCCACTATTGACTCAGATCCATCCCCAGATTCTTCCCGTAACCCACTGGATACGTATGATGCTGTTATAATCTCTCGCAGCCCTTGAGGCTTACTCACTCACACTGCCCACTCCCACCCACTCCCGACACATCCCTTTCCACTTCCTGTTTCAGAACAAGACAACTGTGTGTCTCACCCACTCCCTCTGTCCGCTCAGATTTCTTCTCTTTTGTCAGCTTAGAAAGGAGGCTTTTCCTACTCACTGTCTTAAAAACGAAAAAAAAGAAACTCACACCCACCACCCTCCCCCTCTGCCTTGTCATTTAGCTTTCTTTTGGTGTTTATCACCACTTGACACGTTACCTGTGTGTATCATTGCAGCGATGGGATATTGGTGAAAGGTTTTTTTTGTTTTTTGTTTTTTGTTTTTTGTTTTTTTGTTTTTTGTTTTTTTTTTGTCCCTACAATATATTCAAATCTGCTGTAGAGTAACTAACAACAGAGGAGGGGATTAGAGAGACAGGAAGGAGGAGGAACAGAAGTAGGAAAATTAGAATTGAACTCTGTTGCAGAAGTTTCCCAAACTCTCGTTGAAGTATGGTCCTGTTTTGCATCTTCTCCAGCCCTCCCTTTTCTGGGATAGACCAGATGATGACCTACAATTTGATTCTCAAAGGAATTGAAAAAATGGATTTCCCCAGAAAGATAACAAGGCGACCTGAGGATTTGATCCGAAGGCTTTGCAGGTGAGAACGACCATCAGCGACACCTAGTGCCGGGGGAAGTGTGAAGGTTTCCTTGCACCTCCTGTGCAGTGTGTAGATGCTTCACAATTGCGTTTGTGTGTTCACTACCTGAAGGTTGCTGTTATAACTGAAGAACATTTTTAAATTAAGAAAAAGTGAAAGTGGTGTGTGTGTTGACTGAATGTATGTCTGTGCACAGGCGCATACCTTGTGCCCTCAGAGGCTAGAAGATGTCACCACATTTGGAGCTGGAGTTGTAGACTGTTTAGAGCTGTCTTGTGGGTGCTGGGGAGCCAACCCAGGGCCTTTGGGAGAGCAGCAAGTTCCATTAAGCACTGAACCATCTCAATAGCACCTTAGTATTCTTCTTTTCTTTTTAAAGGTTTTCAAGAAAAGATTTCTTTCTTTTTATTTTATTTGTATGGGTATTTACTCACATGAATGTCTACGCACCATGTGCATGCCTGGTGGCCACAGAGGTTAGAGAGAGCATTGTGTCTCCTGGGGCTGGAGTTGCAGACAGCTGTGAGCTGCCATGTGGGCAATGGAACTTGGACTTGCGTCCTCTGGGAGAATACTTAGTGTTCTTACCCTGTGAGCTGTCCCTCCCGTCTTTACGAATTGTATTTCTCCAGTCTTCTTTTAAAGTATTTTAGCCTTCTACTTACTATTGAAGGCATCATCTGTCACAAAAATATCCGAGAGTTCCAGACTTTGTTTTGTTTTGTTTAAACTCCAGTGTGCTCCTGCACCCCTCCTTTGAAGAAAATTTTGAAGGATTTAAATTTAGTGAATCTAGAATATCAAACCTAGTTTGGGAGTAGGAATTGCAAGTAGGAATACCTACACACGTCTAAGATTGCAGCTTAGGTGGAAATGCAAGTCTAAAGCATTTCTCAGTTTTTCTTGGCAGTTTGCAAGCTAGTGTTTGTTCAGCATCTATCCACAGCTCACTTAAAGAACTGAAGGATGTATCCAGACACTTAGCTGTGGCTTCTCCATGGAAGGGCCATGGCTTTGTTCTCTCCTTATACTCGAGCTTCTGACCCACAGGAGAATCTGATGAAAGTTACTGTGTGAATGAACTTAAAAACAAACATTACCTTTTTATCTAAACTACTCAGGTGTTGTTATTTTAAACTTCTTTCATAAATTATTTCAGGCAAAATCCAACAGAAAGGCTGGGGAATCTGAAGAATGGGATCAACGACATTAAGAAACACAGGTACTGATTTTCTTTGTCATTGAGATAAACGTGGAAACATAGAGACCAACCAGGTGTCTGAGTTAGGCTTTCTATTCCTGTGACAAATACCACGGCCGAAAGCAACTTGTGAAGGAAATGGTTTATTTCGTCTTACAGTTTGTAGCCCATCAGCCAGGGAGGTCAAGGCATGAACATGGAGACAGGATCTGATGCAGAGGTCACGGAGGAGGGCTGCTGACTGGCTTGTCCACAGGCCAGTCTGGTGGGAACATTTTCCCACTTGAGGTTCCCTCGTCCCAAATGACCCTATTTTGTATCAAGCTGACATATAAGCTACCAGCACATGAAGAGATCATGACAGGTTCTCTCAGAAGACTGCCATGTTCACTTTAAGCTTTCCTGCCGGGTGTTTTCCTGTCCAGATTGCCAAGCTCACTTGGGTTCACTCGTACAGGAGGGGCAATGGTTTGCTAAGGCTCCGGCTAGATAGCAATCTCATAATGTTTGGGGCTTCTGGATCATGTTTTGGATAGTATTAATTGCTTTCTGGGCAGTTCAGGAGGTCACATCTCCAGGGCCAGAGGAATGACTCAGGTCATTTAAAAGTAATTGAAGTCCTGCAGCTCTAGTCTTTGGCTTGACATGTGTGCCTAGGAGGGAGGGGTCCAGCGCCGGTGTCCTTAAAAACTGCTAATGCCTAAATCGCTCCCCACAGAAGACATATCCTGACCTCTTAAAACCTTTCTGCAGTGAATGATGAGTGAAGTACTCTCTTAAGATGGCAGGCTGTGGCTGTGAAGCACACCGCCCAACACCAGGGGAGTAGTCGACTGTGGTACTTATTACCTATGGCGTTGGATAGTTTTAGGTTGTTAAATCTTTTTTTTTATTTAATATGTTTTCAAATTACATTCCTTTCTGTCAGTATTTGATTTATCATAAGTCACCCCTGTTCTTGTTCGCTTTTAACTAATGTTACATATTCATTTAAAATACCATTTCCTTTCAATATTTCTTTAAGTTCTTGAACCTTAATTTTCTTCTCTGTTGAAACACAGCAGTTTTCACAGACCCATAATAGTGAGTCATTCTCATGGCTGATCTAGCATTTCCCTTTAATAGTTTTTAGACCCTGATAACTTCCTTGACATTCCCTCTAATTTGATTAAATATTCAAATGTAGCACTTTAAGCCACTAAGATGTATGCTTTTTAAATCAATCCTTGGCAAGTCCTGGGATTTTCACCATGTTTCCATTTTGCTTACAATTTGCAGACAGAAAATACCATGTGTATTTTTTTTTATGGCCTCACACATAAATGTGAGGAATTAATTATTGTAAGCCTTTGAATATGCTGGCGTGTCCACTTTCAAAAATTAAAAACATCTCTAATGTTTTATTCTTGTCAGACTGAGGGGTGGGTTTCTGTGTGCGTGTGCTGGGAATCCAGATAATATCTAGAGTTCCATGCATGCTAAACACAGGCATTACCACCGAGCCACACCTCACGCTGGTATTTATCAATACTCTGCTGCTATTTGTCACTGAGGAATTAGTGGAACATCAGCAGCATCAAGGCAAAAGGAGGTATGTGGCTGCTGACTGTTCTCTTCAACAGCAGCTGCAAAATGAGTAAATAAATAAGTAAATAAATAAAGCCTAAGCTGCCAGTTGTGCTGTGTGAATTCATGATTCCCCCTTGCAATAAGACCTTATGTTCACGATTGTGTAATCAAGCTCCCCCATGGGATGAATAAGAAAGAAAGGGCAGGAGGGAGAGAACCAGGAAAGAGGGAGACATAGGACAGGCTCGTTTGGAACTTTATAGACCTTAAAGTGCTTTAATCCTTCATTCTTTATCATCCTTTGGGTTGCCTTCAATTGCAAGGCTCATTATTTGACTTACAACCCAGTTTATCTTCTCCTCGCACCTCATGCTTTCTCATTATAAATGACACATAGACACACCATTCCCATCTGGCAGGTGTTCCACCAATTACAGTGATTCCTGTTATGTTGTCCCTCTCCTTCTCGTTAAGGCATCGTCAAGCTTTGCTCTGGGATGGTCAGAAAGCAGAAGTGACCGTAATTGCTGAGAGGCTCCAGCCTTCCCTCTGTGCTCTCATTTCCCTGAGGCTCATTCAGAAGGTGGTGGGGTGCTGGAGTGGTGGGGTAGGCGCGCACATCCGTGCTGTGGCTTGCTTTCCTTCCAGCAAGCTGCTTCTGTCATGCACAGCTTCAGAGTCAGTGTGCAGGGGACAGCTGACAAGAGACAACAGGTTGCATACTGTTCTCCCAAGTAACGAACAGAATTTCATCTTATTTTTCTCTTCTCCTGGCTCTTTTTTTAAGCTATCAAGCCAGGGTGTGTGAGCGGGAGTCTATGTGTAGATCAGCAGGGGTCTCATATCAGACCTCCAATATGTTAGATATTTACATTATGATTTGCAACAGTAGAGAAATTACAGTTTTGAAGTAGCAACAAAAATAATTTTTTGGTTGGGGGGGTCACAGGAACATGAGGAACTGTATTAAAGGGTTGCAGCCTTAGAAAGGTTGAGAAAAGCTGTTCTAGATAAAAGGTTCTTTAAACTTTGTACAAATCTCCCAAGTCCGTAGCTTGCTTTCTTACTACCCAGTATATTAAAATTTAACAACATTCTTTTAGGGGATGGAGGGATGGCTCAGTGGTTAAGAACACAGAGCAGTCTTGCAGTCTTAGGACATGAGCTCAATTCCCAGCACCTATGTCAGCAACCTCTAAGTCTTGCTCCAGGGGATATGACACTCTTCTCTGGCCTCCTCACTGAGCATCTGTATTCAGCTGCGCGTGCACACACACACACACACACACGCGCGCACACACACGCGTGCGCACACACACACACACAAAATAAAGTAAATCTTTTAAAATAATTTAATGTTTGTATTAGATTTTCCTTCTTCTCTGGAAAGCAAAATCAAATTTTAAAAGAAAACTTTTCATTCTAGCTTTGTATTTGAAAATAAGTACGCCTAAGCGTAGCGTCTATTATGTGAAATTTGCCTAGTTTGTGCAATCTTTATTAAATCACCTGTGCTCCCTTGTTTATTTGCTAACCTAGAAATGAGGTGTCAATCTTTGCTCCCAAGGAGAGAGAGAGTTTTAAAGGAAGGCTGGTGGATGTGGGTGGATGGAGTTAATGCGTTTCCTGATAGGAGGAGAAACCAAATACCTTCCCGTTACCTTTGAGAACAGCTTCTACAAATCTGGAAGCAAGCAGTTCCTGTTCTGTCTGTCGGCGTTAGTACAGCTGTGCTGAACGCTACTCACATAAGAGTGTGTGCTGGCACTGGCATTGCATAAAATGCCACCTGTCTCAAAACACTGGGATTAAATGAGTGGCCACTCACACGAAGTGAATGTCATTGTTAGTCGAATTGCAGCGAGCACTCTTAAAAAAACAAATGCAAGGCTATTTTCTTCAGTAGAACAAAAGTGATGGTTTCTGTTAATATGTCCAGAGGTCTTGGCTAGAGAGCATTGTGCTTTATGCTGAGCGGTTCCTTCATTTGGTGGCAAAAGAGGATCCTGCAGAAAGAAATGTGTACCCAGAAAAGTCTGAGGAGAAAGCCCCATTCAAGTGCCAAGACTGATGGGAGTGTCAGGGAGAAACCCTGTGTCTTTAACACAGGGACAGGCAGATATCGGTTTACACTGTTGTCTGATTCCTGCTCTTACCTAGAGTTGTAGGAGATTCTATCAAAATGGCATCTAAAGTGCAACACACTAGCTCCCGTTCCGTTGCTGAGCTTAGACTTGGATTGGGAGATCCTGTGTAGGATTGAACCAAAACTAACTCTGGAGTGAGGCGAGGCTGTGAAAGGAGGGATGGCCTGGCGTTGGTGTGGCTGACAGATGATGGTGACAGATGCTGAAGGTCTCCTGCCTTTAGTCACCACCGCTTGCTGCATTCTGGCCCTGTGGTCATTCTCTAGAGGACCGCAGTTACCTTTTTGATAACCCGGTCATGTTTTCCCTCAGCATTTGGTAATGGCTTTCTATCACACCAAATAGAGTTTACTGTGCCCCAAACCTTAACGAAGCACCCTAACAAGCATTTCACCATTTCTTTGGCATCTTTTGCCATTTTTATTTTTAAGGTTTACTTTTTATTTTTTTAATCATGCTTTTTTTTTATTAATTCTTTGAGAATTCCATGCAATGGATTTTGATCAAATTCACCCCTTCACTACTCCCCTCAAACCTACCCTCTCCACTCTAAACTCTTTACCCATTCAGCTTTGAATTTTCTTCATTTGCTTTTAAAGCCCATCAACTCCAATGTGTGTTTCCCAGCTTCTCTTGGTAGGGCCTGCCACAGAAGTATGGCTGACCTAAGGGGCTGACACTCTTAAAGAAAACTGACTCCCTGTCCACCAGCAGCTATCACTTGGCAATAGCTCAGCTCCTCAGTTGGTGGTAGGATTTCTTGCCTCCCTCCCACCCCCATGCTGGACTCTGTCTGGCTTTGGTGCACACAGATCTTCTGCTTACAGTCACAGTCGCTGTGGGTTTCATATGTACAAGTGCCCTGTTGTACTCTTTCCTTGAAGTCATTCACTGCTTCTCTTCTTAATGATCTTTCCAACTCCGCATATCTCCCCCTAATCCTGACTTTTTTTGCATTTTTGCATGTCAGCTGATTTCTTCCTTTCCATCTGGGAGGTCCTTACCAAAGAACTTTCCATGACTCCTCTCTTTTCTTCATCTTTTAAATACTAACCCAGTTCAAAGCAGCCCTTCCGAACTTGCCCCCATTCCAATACCATCTAGCACTCTATTCTCTTTCCTCTTCCTAACACTTGTTAGTGTCTAAGTTTAAATTAAGCATTTGTGCTATTTACTTATCTTTTTTTACCACCTTACCTTAACTTTTTTCCATACATGTCTGGAACAACTTCTCTTTTCCTGTTTACCGCCTGTCCCACTAACCAGTGATTAACAGAGGGAGGGTAGCACTGCTCCATGTTCTTGGTCGGATCCTGAGAACAGAGCAGACTGTCTTCAGGAGAGGTGGAGACCTCCAGATGTCTGGTACTGCACATATACAGAAGAGAGGATTCACCTCCTTAGACTAATGATACAATCCCATGGATAAAGGAAATCCTAGCTGCCTGTTTGTCTTGATATTCCCACGGGCAACTCACTGTAGCGCAGTGTCTTGTTGGAACTTCTTAGATACGAGATGAGGAGGGAATTGAAACAGACTGCAGTGTATTCTGCAGAAAGCAGGGGATGAAAAACATTCCCAAGGACCTATTTCCTCCAAAGCAAAGGAGAGAAGTGGACTGAATTGGAGAAGAACCAGGGTCAAAGGATGGGTTTTGTTGTGGTAGGAGTTAAGCCGTTTCTATGTCATGACCTAGCAGGCAGTGACAGTGCATGGACTGAAGAACTGCAGCAGCAAGCCAGAGATGATGGAACCAAGCGTGTAGTAGAGAAACTTTGGCCTTAGTGAGAAGATAAGGCAGCCCATTTATGGTACAGGACAGAAGGCATACAGGGATGGGTGCGGATGGGCTGTGGGGAGCTTGTGAATGATTTTTCCCTTATTATGGGCCTTTGGTGGTTTGTTTGGTTGGTTTGGTTTCACGTCATATCTCTCAGTGAATTAAGGATGAAGGGTAGGATCTAAAGCCCTGGTTCTCAACCTGTGGTTATGACCCCCTGGGGTCAAATGACTCTTGCACAGGGGTTGCCTAGGACCATTAGAAAATACAGGTATTTACATTAAAAATCATAGCAGTAGTAAAATTACAGTTATGAAGTAGCAACGGCATAGTTTTGCGGTTGAGGGGGTCACCACAGCATGAGGAACTGTGCGAAAGGGTCACAGTGTTAGGGAGGTTGAGAACCAGTGGATCGCTCTGTGGTTAAGACCTCGATTCAGTTCCAAGTGCCCACACGGAAGTTCACAGTCATCTAAAACTTCCTGTGCAAGGGAATTTGACACCATCTTCTGACCCCTAGATACGCAAATGCAGACAGGCAAACAACACACAGATGCACAAACAAATAAACAAAAACAAAACAAAAATCATGTAGACATATAATAAATGGATCACATACCGATGGGAAGGAAGTCCTGGAAGCCTGGAGAGATGATACACAGTCATGAACCAAAGTGTGAAAGAGACATCTCTAGGATGGTTGCTATGTGATATGAATTTCATGGGTTGAACATGAAATGAGTCAAAACAACTCCATCCCTACTAACTCTCAGCTGCTTGCAGCAGCATTTTTGGGGGCAGGGAGTGACAAAATGGATGGACAAATATACCCTAACATGCTAATCATATATTATGTGGATAATATCCTCCATATTTTTCTCATTTTTTAGGTGGTTAAACGGTTTTAACTGGGAGGGACTGAAAGCACGGAACCTTCCATCACCTTTGAGGAGAGAGGTATTTGCTGGGACCAGTTTTCAAAGTCAGATTTTGTGAGGGAGGAGGGAAGGCAAGAGGGAGGGAAGGAGAGAAAGAGAGGGAGAGACAGAGAGAGTACACACGTCCTGGAATACTTCTAATTAGGTGAGTTTGTCTGAATACTTGTGATAGAGAGACTTAAATAGTATTGCCGGGGCTGGAGAGTGGGCTCAGTTGGTAAAATGCCAAACACACAAGCATGAAGACCCAGAGCTTGTGCGCCTATAATCCTAAGGCTGGGAGACAGACAGAAGGCTCATTGGAACTCACCAGTAAGGGATTCCTATGGGAACCAGTGAGAGACCGTGTATCGAAATGTAAGGTAGGCACCTGACATCAGCCTCTGGCATCCACAGACATGTTCCCACATGTGCTGTGTGCAGGTACGCCCACATATGCACGTACAAGAACACATACGCTAGAGAGCACACATAAATCAAAGCAGTGCTGTCTATCTGATGAACACTAAGGTCACCTCTCAGGAATTAATTATATGCTATTATATGCTAAACTTAGTTTCACCCAAATCCCAGAGTTGTTGGAGGTACTCAGGGTACACAGGTAATAAATAAAATATGTTATTCATTACTGTAAGACAGTTGTAAGATAGTAGCCCTCTGCTGCTAAAGTGTAATTATACATGCTGCTAAAATGGAATTATAACTACATCTGAAAGAAATACTGGTATTATTACCGAAATAGAAAAATAAAATACAGCACATTTAAAGAATGATGAAAAATGACGGTTAATCATAAAACTTTTCCATTAGAAAAGGAGACTTTTATAGGTAAAACAGAATGAAAAAGGAAGAATAAGAATTTTAATATTGGTGTTTGAGTGTGAGTTTTCTAAATGACCAATAGATATCAAATCTCCTTCTTTTCTATTTAAAGTATAGTGAGTGTAGGCCAAGAAATTAGGCAGTGTCACATTTTATTTTTTGTGACTATGACAGACTAGAAATTCCATTCTCAACAACAATTTAACTTTCGTGAAAACTTGCGATGTGTGGGTGTGCCATCGAAGGAAGACACAGACCTTCCACAATTCCTCCAGGCAGCACTCATAAGTTTAGCAGAACCCTTAGATCTTGATAGACTTCTCCCAGGTCATGTGATGTTCCACTGTCTTTCAGCCTAGCCTTTGCAATATTGTGTGCCCTTGCCACAGCAGTGGCAATCCCAGGAGCTGTCCCCAGACCCCTCACACACCGTAATAAACCACAATACCACCACAATGCTTTCTCCTCTGACTGTTTAATTAGGTGTTCTGTAATTTAAGTAAAGAATTTCAAACCATCTGGTGACAAAATAGTTTAATACCACAGTCATTTAATTTTCCTAATGACATTTCAATGTCACTAAGATTTTGGATTGTCCATTTGCTTACTATTTTGCATAGTTTAGAGGGATAAGCTAACTGTCCAGATTCAATATTGGTAAGAAGCTTGAATGTAAGAGGAACCCTGATAAAGATTGGTATTTAAAAGACCATTTGTTTTGAAAACGTTCCTTAATTGATAAAGGAAGATAGATAGTACTTACTTCACCTTTTCTTTAGAAAAATAGTTCCTCATGTTGGGTAGCTCCTGATAAGCATAACCAACAACAAAATCAAGTGCTTCTACTGTGATGACATCACTCTCCTGAGACTCATAGGGAGTGTGTGAGAGGTTCCAGGTGAAGGCAGCACGCAGCTAGAGCTAGCTTTACCTGGATGTGCTGGCATGCTTGGTCATGACCTTGTTCTATCCTTCCTCCATTAGCTCAGTGGCCCCATAGACCACAGCTACTTTGACAAGTACCCTCCTGAAAAGGGCGTGCCTCCGGATGAGATGTCAGGCTGGGACAAAGACTTCTGACAGAAGGAAACTGGTGACATGCCACAGAAGAGGACTGTGAGGATCAATAACACAATGCTGGTTGTTCCAGAAGATCATTAGGGAAAAGAACCCCCCCTGCTAGTCAGGGAAGGAGCGTGGCTACATGTGGTTCTGAACGGGAACATCTCCCTGAGATGCTGTGAAATTATCCCTGTACTCCATTCTGTAATTGTTTCAGATGTCATACGCTTCCCCTCACCTTTCCATGACCTGCTCCATTTTTGATGACATAACATACTTTCCTCTGAAATACGTTGCTCCCTCCAAATCATACTCTCCTGCCTAGAATCCTAATAAAAGTTAATAAGGCTTTTGCTTTTGAGCACCTAAGTCACCCGCAGAGAAGGAAGAATATGAACAACTTTAGAAGAATCTCCAGGACTCAACAGACACCAGGGATATATTGTGATGTCTTCAAGTGGTGTTTTCCAGACATCTTGAGTAGTTAATAGAAGATCATGAATTTAAATTTGTTTCAGCCTAAAAATACACTAAATTATTTTTCTGATGCTATCTAGGAAAAAGATTTGCATATTAGTTAGTGATGCAAGTTGTTAAAGAAAGCCAGTCAATCAAATCAGATAATTACATTGTTCTTAATAACTTAGAAAAAAAGAAGCAAAACTTTCCTTTTCCTTTGGCCAGTGATACCTCTGAGGCTTCCCAAAAACTTTGTTAAAAACAATTTAGAAAGTGTGGCTAAATGATGGATTTTTGAGAAGTTTTTACCTTATGTTTAAAAATATATATTTTTGCTACCAAAGTAGAAAATATGGTGGCCTAAAATACTAAGGATATTTCCTTCCCACAAAAGACAAAGCATAATAAATGCTGATAGCTAATATTGTTGACTCTTTCTAACTCTGAGATATTTTGTTCCATACTATGGTTACTGCTACTGATAAACCCAAAGTATAGTAAGATCATGTTTAATTTTCAATGAGAAGCCCATTGACAAATTTGAGATTTGTAGTCTCTGTAGAGGTAATGGCTTTGCTTGAAGCCCTTCGAGTTATGTATGTAATTATAACACAAGCTACTCTGGAAGTGGTGTGATTTTTGAAGTAAAGGGAACACCCAGAATCTGGCTTTTGCTGTTTCCTATTGGCAATCTTCCAAATTAGAAGTGAACAGAAGAGTAGCAAGTGCACTGGACACCAATTCCTGAGGGCTTTTCTGGTGTTGGTAGGTGTTGAGCAAAATCACTTCCTCCCCCCCTTCCAAAATGATGACAAATGTCTCCCTATCTTTGTAATCTGGCAGAACAGAGATGGCATCCTGATTCCTGTATCATTCAAGCTTCTGATTGTATTTTTATATGATAATGTTCTACCAGAAAAGCAAGTTTCACCCACTCCATACACACATTTTCATTCTTTAGAGAAAGTCAGCTGTCTGACTGCTGAAGATTTAAGCCAGATAAGCAAGACCCAGAATAAGAAAGTGCATCCTTAAGAAATTATATTTACACATTTAGAGTCCTTTTGCTGAACCAAAGAGTTTTGTTTCTTGGGGTAGATTTTTAAAGATTATGTATTGTATATAGAAAAGCCATTTTTAATAGGATTAATATAACATGCTTACAGAATTTCTAAAGTCTAAAAATACCTTGTTTGCATTTGGTTTGTATGTACTATATGTTTTCCATGTATATATTTTATAATTACCAACATATACAGGCAAAAAACTGATATATTGGGTGGCCATTAGGACTGTACAGTTATTAATGTTCACAAGAATGTTCCAGGATTGTGATTGAAAAGAATAAGCCCTACATATCTAAAGTTAAACCACAACTTAGATGTTAATCTTTCCTGTGAGTGGCCATATCAGATACAATTTCCACACATGATTTAATATGTTTCATTTATAAAGATGAAGATATGTGGGACTGTATTATCGTTTAATCTCAACTTGATTTCTAGCTCAGTGACCTTGGAAAAATGATTTGCCTTTGGGTACCAGTTTCTCACTTGTATAATAATGGTAAAGTGATACCCACAGACACATCTTTACCTGGCACCTGTGAAATGATCCTTGCTGCATAGATGGATAGATGGGAGCTACCGTCACTATCTCTGTTGAAATTAAAGCGGCCTTAATAACCATTTAGTTCTGAGCCATGTGTGTCAATGGTGTCTCTCTGCAGAATTGTTGTGTTAAGTCAAATCTCTGAAGTAAAGGTGGTTGATCAAACTTTGGCCAATGAGAAGCATTAATCATCACCCAAATGAAGTGCTCTGCTGGACTGACCTACATTTAAAATTGATGAATTAAAGATATGAATGTGCACATGCACACAAACAGACAAGGACGGACAGTTATCCCCTATAAATGAAAAGCCACAGTATTTTTAACTATTAAATCATTTCTAACTTCCATTTTCTAGAATGTAATATCAATTTTTCATTCATCAGATTTTTCCATATGGGGTCAAATTTTTATCATCGCAGTTTTTTAATTTTCACGTAAGTATTAACGTCTGAGGGATGGAAAAATAAAGAAAAGAGAAAGATGAGGCCTAGATTTTCATGAGTTTAGTAATTCATCACATCCTTGGTCATCTGCAACTTCCAAACGTATAGTTAAATCTTGAAACATTAGTACTGCTACTAGAAGGTCACAGAGAATAACCACTTAAAAAGATGTGTATGTGTTTCTTTTGACGTCATAATAAATCCAGATCCTTGTTGCCAGATACCATGCTAGGAGCACTTCCGTCCGCCAGCTCACTCACGTAAGATTCTGCAGTTATACCAAACGCTAACTGTAGATTGTTCCCAAAGCCCCATATTGGCCATAAATACAGATTACATTCCTAATTTAGTTGTAATGTTTTTTTTTTTTGCCCAAGCTAGTGCTCGTTGCTGGACACGTCTAACAAATTATCCCTAGGCTTAGCACAATGACTGAGAACCAACCATTTGTCATTCTCCTAGGTCCTCTGTGCCAGGAATTTAGACAGGTGGCAAAGAAGGATGAGCCATCTGTACCCCAGGGTGAGTGGGAGCCAAAGTGACCAGGAGCCTTATTGACTAGCATATTTGTTGTCTGAGCTGGAACTTCTTCAATGACTAAAACTAGCAGTTAGCCTTTGCTCGCTGTTCACCACAGTTTGGAGTTAGCCAGATTCCTCCATATCGGCTCTGGAATGCAAGAGAGAGGGGTCTAGCCAAGAGGCAGAAGCTGCGCTGCTCCATAGGAGCTACTCACAGAAGTTGTCCAAAATCACTTCGACTAGATTCTATTGATGGGAATGTGAATCCACCTGGACATGAAGGAAGGGTGCACGGACATGACTTCTTAATGAGGAAAGTTTCAAAACCTGTGCAGCAAGTCTTAAAACGGCCACAGTCCATTCTGGCCACATATTACATCGATCCCATATGCAAAACAAATCCATTCCCTCCCAAGAGCCGCTATAAAAATATCATCGGACTCAGGATCAGTATTCAGGATCTTGTCATCAAAGGCCTATTCAGGTATGGATGGAGTCTTCTGGGTGCAGTTTCTTGAATCTATGCTTTCAAGCCTCAAAGCCCATGAAACAAGTAAATAAGTCATCTTTCCTTGACACTCACAGCATGGAGTGGTGAAATCTGAAGGTGGCTACAGCACATTTGCTTTAGGAGACTGGGGAATAGCGTAGGCACAGGAAGAGGCTAAGCGATGTCTCCAACCTGCAGCTAGGAGGCTGCATTCATCTCAGGATAGATCTCAATCTGGCTCAGCTCATGTGGAGATCAATGTAGCGACCCCAAGTCCAAAGGCTGGGCAGCCCCAAATACAGTAATTCTGAAATCTGGGCCTGACTTTTGGTACCATTTTATGCTCTGGCATTCATGGTGACCACCTGAGTATTGTTCTTCAGTTATTCACCATGTGTGAATTCACAATCTACTCTATTAGACATAGGCTGTTGTTAAGGATCGAATAGCACAGGCATGAGGCATTTTTAAAGTCGCTTTGAAAGGCTGTGGCAAGCAGCTTCAAAAACATCCTCACAGCGTATTTTTATGAAACGCCTGCCTTTTTAAAGTCCTCTTCTTTTGGAGATATGCGGTAGTACACATGCCTGGAATTCCAGCACTGGGATGGTGGACATACAAGGACCAGGACGTAAAGATCACCCTTGTTTACATCATGAGTTCAAGGCCAACCAGGGGATCATGAGACCATATCTCAAAAACTGAAACCATCCACCAACCAAAAATTTGCTCTTCTTTAGAGTTTCCCAAAGGTAATAACTTTCTGTTAATAATCAGACAGGAAAAGCAAGAGCAAAGCAGACGCAAAACAGGAAACATCAAGTCCTCTAGGGAAAACTGGAAATTATAAAGACAGAACACAGTCCACGACTACAAACTGGTGCCTGCATCTGGCTTTCACGGTGAGGAAGTTGTCATGATAGGGAAACTGCAGCTCACGCTCAGACCTTCACATCGTTTGTTCAGGGCTTAAAGACACTGGGGCAGGGTAAGGGTCCGTCTGTCTGGACCAGAGAAGCCTCGGGTCTGCATGCTGCTTCTCCCAAGGTGAGTCCTCCGTCACCGGCAGCATGTGGCTCCACAGCAGTGTTGAATTTGCACTCATCCCCAAGCTGCAGCTCAGCCTGGGCCCCGCATCTGCCTTTCAGACCAACATTCTTATGCCAAATTGTCTTATGGAAAGGCCAGATCAGAACCAAACCGAGAAGGGATCTCTGTGGAACACACTTCGGCCTTAGCTAAGTCGAAAGAGAACAAAGGAGCTTATTTTTAAAACTAGTAAAATACATAATATATGATTGTCCCTATATAGCTTATTTAGTTTGTGTTTTTAGCTAATGAAGTTTTCTCTTTCTCTCTCCCTCTCTTTCTATGTAATATTTATCAAAACTTGTTCAGGACATAGGCCTCCTGCTTCAACAGGAAACAATAGCAATTTGACTCAGGTGATTGACATGCAAACTCAAAACTGAATAACAGCTGCGCCATTTTGAATTTCAGAAGGCAAAAACTAGCAAAGTCTTTTATTCACTTTTTGGTTGATGAATTTAAAATTGTACAAAGGAAGGTAATGTCAAGTTTGAAAACACACACTGAACAGGAACTGAAAGCTGAAAGCAGTGTGTTGCAGTTAAGGAAGAACAGTGGCCAGCCTCCCGTTCTTGGTCTCTAGGGAAGAAAGCTAAAGTGGTTAATGCGCACTGACTGGGAGACAACTATACAACCCTGATGCTTAAAATGCAAGAAGACCCTCAGATGGTAGCAGAGCGTGAATTTTAGCATCTGGAGTGCTCGTCTGTTCTACATTCTGCTTGGATTGCTTTTAATTTTTTTGAAAATTTCAAACAGGAATACTGCATTCACATCATTTCCGCTCTTTCCTCTCCTTCTCCAACTCCTCTCATGCCCTTTAATTCTTCAAGTGTGTGTGCGTGTGTGTGTGTGTGTGTGTGTGTGTGTGTGTGTGTGTAGGACCCAATGAACTTCATCAGTGTTTTTACAAGAGCATGAGAGAAGAGTTATTTATAAAAGCATGGCACCTTACCAGTGGCTACACCACTGATGAAACTATGTGTCTCCCCCACCAACCATTAACTGTCTAGAATCATCCAGGAAGGGTGGGGCCGTGAGCCCTTGCTCCTCCATGGCAGGCTGTTCATGGGTCTGCTCTAGTGCAGGGCTGGTCCAGGTAGTCACAACTGCTGTGAGTTCAAGAGTACAACAGGAAGTCTACCCAGAAAAGAACATTTACAGCATCCTACCCCCTTCTTCCAGCTTACATTCTTTCTGCCCCAAATTCCGGAGTGGGGAACCTCTTACTTAAATGAGTAGTGAATATGAAGAAAAAGATTAAGCTATGCCATCATAGATTTTCCTAATAGTTGCTGGACAAAACTTGGGCCTGGATGTGTTTCCGACAGTGAGTGTGAGAAGGGGGCAGAACTCCCAGTCCAATTGTGTTTGTTAGATACTGTTGTCAACAGTAGGGATTCTCCACCAGCTATGGCCATAAAATCCCTTCATCTCTATGTTCTGTCTTACGCATTTACTGTATATTTTGTTTTAAAGAATAAAACCCACTCTTAAAAAATAAATTTGAATCATATATGTAGGCCACATATCAAATCCCTTAAAAAAAAGGTGCTCAACCTCTTCATCTTTCACTACACTGAATCAGCGCATAGGCAGCTAACTGTGGTAACACCTTCTGGACCTGCATAGATGGGGCTCCTACATTTACTTGACTGTTTGCCTCTCTGAGTTGTCAACTTTGTTTCTCATATATCCTTTCAGATGTATATTTTTATTTCCTTAACTTAGTCAAAATAACATTGTATCATTTCCCCTCCCTTTTTTGTCTCCTATCTTTTTCATGTCTGCCCTCTCTCCCCAAATTCACGGCTTTCTCTTCTTCCACCATTGTTGTTATGTGAGCACATAAAAAAATAAACATATAAGCACAACCCACTGAGTCGGTTGTGTTGTCTGACTGTGTGTGTTTCTCAGGCCTGACTACTTGGTATTGGATAACTTTGAAGGATGCAAACTGAAGGCGTCTTGTTGGCCCAGATGGATGTTCTTGGGAATTATTGGTGGTTTGTAACAAATGTTGAAGTTGTATTTCTGCCAGACTTCTGTTCCTCCACCTTCTTTCAAAGCTATCGGCAGAGATCTCCTGGCTGTGATCTGCCAAATGCATATGTATAAATAATTAATAATTAGATTAACTGATAATCAATCAATTAATTCCTATTATTGATGCATAAATAATTGTTTGATAAACTGATAAAAGCGCTCAGTTAGTCACTCAGTTGCACCATTCACAATTCCAGGAGTTGGATGCTCAGCAGTGAACACCATCTGCTTCTCCAGCACAGTACAGACTGCAATGGCTAGAGGACGATGGGGGAAACAAACAAGGAAGGTGAGTCTAACACAGAAGTTGCGTATGGAAAAAGAGTGCATCCGTGGTACTGGACTGTGAACCTAAACAAGAAGTTAAAGTCTAATCTTGTTAAAGACAATTTAATCAAATATCGGAATGGCGGTGCTTCTCTTATTTTTATTGGGAAAGTTGACAGACACACCCAGGCTCAAGTTTTGTCCTACTAGAAAGCACCTGGGTTTCCATGGACTTCACTGAAGACCCAGGGGTTTTACTGTGAGGTCATGCAACTGTTGCTCTATGAAATTTTTAATCCTTTTAAGACAAAAATTCTTGGGTTCAAATTGAGTAGGTCTTTCCGTTATACTCCTCACCAAAATAGAGGAAGTATCTAAGGGAGCATGCCTTCATGGTTGCACTTAGATTGATGTTCAAAGTCTCTGATTGGAGACATACACCT